CATTACAGTTTTGTTGTTATTATCTTTGATGCTAAGAAACATTCTGAATTTGTGAACACTTTGAATGCTTTGCTGAGTTGTATTTTATATTTCAAAAGCTTGTTAGTTCAACTGCTCTTTTCTATGGAAACTAATTTGAATGTCTTTTAGAATTCAATTTTAGGTCTATGTTAACTTTTTTTCTCTTGATGCTTTTGGAATGGGTAGAGGTAACCACTACTAGATCAACCTTCTGGATTTTGCTAATGGAATAGACTATATGATAGATGGCTGCCCATCCACAATTGTTAGATCAAATACACATTGATGTAGGATCAATATATTGATCAAGAAATAATCACAGTCACAGGAAGAAATAGGCAGCAAGAAAGGAGGGGAGGAAGGGAGAGAATGGGAGGAGAAGACCGAAGAAGAAGAGAACAAGGGGAGAAGGCAGGAGAAAGCGAAACTTATTTTCATTCAATTCATCATCTTCATCGTCCCCAAATTACACAACAAACTAAATATAAATAGCAAAGCAATAAACCTAAAGAAAATGGCTTGGGCCAAGCCTAACATACAAGCCCAACTAAACATAAGTAAAATAGTAAGTCCAACTATAAAATAAAAGATGTGCTCATTAATTCTCTCGGGGTGGGAGGAAAACTCACCCTGTCGAGTGAACAAAACACAGAAGGCTGCAGTTGATGTGATACCCAAAATACTCCAAGTCAAGCTATGGGGGACGATCTTTCTAACGAACCAAATATCGAAATTCCACAAATGATGACAACGCCAATTGCAAATTACCCGCAAAAATATGAACTGACCAAGATAACCTAGGCGAATGAGGATTTTGCTGACTCCTATAAAGCTCCAATGAATTTAGCTCACGTCGCTGAAATCTCCATTTGGGAATTCATGTACCGTTAGAATCAAGTCAATCCATCCAACGAATAAGAAAGCACTGAATCTCTCTATCATTGGTCAACACAATGTGTTCATCTAAAATAACATCAATTTTATTTTTGTGTGTCATGATAGGTGGGATTGAAGTAGACATAGCAAAAGATTCAGTGTGGGAATTCTCATGTGGAGGTAGAAACGGGTCATTAGAGGGGTTAAAATAGCCTTTGTAAGCATCGAAGTCCGTAACAAATAAAATGGGGTGGTGGTCATAATGTGATAAAAGTTCATTGACATATGCATTTAGACCAACATGCTTTGAAATTTTAAAAGGACTAGCATTACGAGCTTGCAATATAATATAATCCCCAATATTAAATTCAAAATGTTGTTTATGCCAATTAGCTCGAGGTTTATATAATGCGTTACTTACTTCAAATTGTTTATTGATCTCAATATGCAAGTTATGAAAATGTGATATAACTTTCTCAACTGACATAAACACACTAGCATGTGGGTACATGAGAATAAGATCTAAAGGTTTCCTAGGTTCACAACCATAAATAACTTCAAAGGGATTTAGACCTAAAGACCAGTTCACATGATTGTTATATGTAATTTGAACAATTGGAGAGATCAAGTCCAAATTCCCAAGATTTTTCTGGACTAGAGACTGTAATAAATTGCCAAGACTTCAGTTGGCAATTTCATTTTGATCATCAGTTTGAGGTTGGTCAGTAGTGGAGAATTTCGATTTAGTGCTAACCATAGGCGACTGGATACTCCAAGGGTGACTAGTGAAATCATCAAACTCTTTGAGTTGGGTATGAGTATGACATAGAACATGTGATCGAGAGTTGTCGAAAACAAGGGGTATAGTTTCTAAAGTCTCGAGAAGGGTCGAGATTATACCTAAGGAAGTGTCTTCACTATCATCCAAGTCATCAAAATCTTTAAGTTTATGTTCATAGACTAGATCTTCTAACGGCTCATCTATTGCATTCTTTCGTTCTTTCATGACTAAGGTTCGATTAGGACATTTGGAAGAAATGTGGCCAAAGACCTTACAGCTGATGCACAGCAAATGAGAAGAAGTCCTTGGAGTTTCAAAAACTTTACCCTTATTTTCAAAGATTGGAAGAGTATTAGACGAGGGAGGTCCTAAAAGAGACTTAACAGGAAGAAGTGGAGCCAATGAAACAGGAGGATGATTGTCAATATGCCTTCTATATGGAGAAGAAGGCTTTGGACTATCACGACCTTTACAATTATTTTTCCAAATGGGAGGAACATTGGACGGGGAAAACTTTATGATAGACTTATGGTGAGGTGGAGCTAACGGGATGGGTGAACGACGATGACCATGCTTTTCATATGGAGTACTAATAATCAACTCATAATTTTGAGTTAAAGAGTAAGCTTGATTAAGAGTAGTAACACCTTGAAGGAAAAGCTCACGCCTAAGATCATCTCTCAGACCTTGGCTAAACCTACTCAAAGTCGCGGTCTCATTCTCAATGAAATGACATTTGGTTCGAAATTCCTCAAATTGTGTGATGTACTCTGTCACTAGTTGATTTCCTTGTTTAAGGGCATTCCATTGAGTGGAAATTTCAAAATTATCTCGTTCTCGCTCACAAACCTGATCCCTACCCCTACGATCGTATCTAAAGCATTTTTTATCACCATGTTGATGATGATAATGTCTATTATGGGACACTTTAGATTTATGGACAACGGTTGAACTAGGGATTTGTTTAAAGTTGTTCAAATTAGCAAATTGAGTCTTACTCTTTTCAAGAGTAGCAAATATTTGAGTTTGGATAGCAGCTATTTGTCGAGTAAGTGCATCAAATTGTGAGGGGTCCATATTTAAGGTACTGGAACTTGAATTGATAGGACGATCACTATGCAACTATATGCACTGTAATAGCAACTAAATGATGTGCAATAGAGAGAACAATAAACAAAAGTGCAAGCAATGGAAAATAAAAATTTGAGTATTTTATCTTTCTTTTTATCTTTTTTTTTTAAAATAAATTTTGGGATTAAATAAATCTAAATACGGCAAGCTAATACTGTCGGTTTATGTAAAATAGCGGAGCAAGGGCCAAATACTAGTCAGGACCTAATCACGTAAAATAAGTGAGGTAAAAGTGGAATTTAATGAAGGTAATGAGTCCAATTACGTGAGTTTAGGTAAAAACTGGAATAACAGCATCACACAAAAATATTGATGCAATTTTAAAACGAAACAGTAATATAAATCAAAGATAAATAAAAACAGTAACTTCCCTTTCGTCCGTTGAAGTAGCTGTGTCAAATCAACATGAAAAATTTAACTAAACTCTATACAAACAAACAGGGCATAACCGAGCCCAACTCACAGCTGAACCCAAATCACAAACTGGGTATATAATAAAACGGAGGTTCAACAACGTGAAGCAGATCACATCTGTGGTGATTGGGCTGCCGATTTTCTATGACAATCAGCATTGATTGGAGGTGGAATGCTTGGTTGGTGACACATATGGTGTACTTTGAATAATGGTTCAGATTATTGTTGGAGTTCGCAGGTTTAAAGTCGCGATGTGCAGCAATAGTTTGTGGAATAGGGAGGTCGTTTGAGCAACCGGGTATGGGTCGCGGTGAGGAGATGGCAGTTTGACAGTGAATTGTATATATGTGCGGGCGACAGAACTTGAGTGGCGGCGGTGGATGATTTTGTTGGCGCGAGATGGTGGCTGAACCGTTAGGTTGTGCAAGAAATAATTAGACGAGGGAGATGGGTTGCTGTATGTTGGGTCGGGTCTATTTTCTGTGTATGGGGCTTGCGGTTGTGGACGATGTGGTGAATTGTGTAGGTGAAGATCGACGGTTGCAGCAAGTGAAGGAGTTATGGGTGGTTGGGTCGGTTTGGGAAGTGGATGAAGACGTGGGGAGCATGTATTGTGCTGTAGCTTTGGTGTGGTGGGTTTAATGGTTGGGAATTATAGGCAGAAGACGGTTACTACTGCTAGGTACATAATTGTTGATGTTGGCTGTTGTAGATATTCAGCTTGATTATGCTATGTTAATGGAAGACTGGTGGTGGTTTTGTATAAGTGAAATGGTGAAGATGCTGGGAAGTACCAGGTGTTCCGGGACGTTGATTAAGCATCATCTAAGGAACTTCTGGCTGGTGGCGAGAGCATTGAACGACAGATGGATGAATGAGACAACACAATTACAATTGCAGCTGTTTTAATAACGAGTTCTAGGTTTTGGCTCTGATACTAAGTTGATGTAGGATCAATATATTGATCAAGAAATAACCACAGTCACAAGAAGAAATAGGCAGCAAGAAAGGAGGGGAGGAAGGGAGAGAATGAGGGGAGAAGACCGGAGAAGAAGAGAACAAGAGGAGAAGGCAGGAGAAAGCGAAGCTTATTTTCATTCAATTCATTATCTTTATCGTCCCCAAATTACACAACAAACCAAGTATAAATAGCAAAGCAATAAACCTAAAGAAAAGGGCTTGGCCAAGCCTAACATACAAGCCCAACTAAACATAAGTAAAATAGTAAGTCCAACTATAAAATAAAAGATGTCCTCATCACACATGGATAAAAATGCTTGTGTGAAGAAAAGTCCCCCATGATCACAGAGATTTGCAGACTTATGAGTGAAATGATGACTATTGTACCATATTTATTGGAAGAAATTCTGGAAAGATATGAGCCATACCCTCTCATAAGATTTTAAAATTTCCAGTTCTTATATGCAGTCTTCTGTCCTGGTCTTTTATTTAGATCAGGTGACACATATTGGGTATGCCTACTGATACTTCTAATACATGATACTCCATGTTTGCACGAGAAATCATCATATCCTCTCTCTCTATCTCTCTATCTCAGTTATTTTTTTTTCCCCCATTCAAAAGGCATTTTCGACTGTGGGTACTCCAGACTACATTGCTCCAGAAGTGCTATTGAAGAAGGGATATGGCATGGAGTGTGACTGGTAAGTTTCAATTTCTTTTTCGCCTTTAATAACATCAATTGTACTTCATCATTCTTGGCTTACCAATTCTTAAAATATTGTCATCTTTAATAACTCTGTTTTGCTTGGATCTCATTTGAAATAACATATGATTGTAACTATTATGGAGTCAAATTTTAAACAATAAAATGCTTTGTCATGGGCCTTAATGAATCCAATCATGTAAATGTGGGGGGCATTGTTCTTACTGAAAAATTACCAATAACGGTTGGATGGAGAACTTTAAGTATTGTTTTGGCTTCAGAGGTTAACAATGCATTTTATTCTTTAGTATGAGAACCTCATTATGGCCAACCATGTTTGGGTTCCCATCTTAATTCGTTTAGGTAACTCATTGGAGATCTGACTTTTACTTTTCTTTTTATTCCTTTATTTTCCCTCCTCTGTTGTGTGGTGTGTCTCTTTCTGTTCTGTTTTGGGGTGAGGGTAGCGAATTATGCTATATATCAAACCGTCTAGATGGTTTTTCTGCCTTGCTCTGTAACTGAGGAGCTGATTTAATGGAAAATCTGGTTACTGTCTTGTGTATAATAATAAGTAAAAAATGTAATCTCTACGTTACAGCTTGCACTAGTTAGGATTGCACTTGTGTGACTTTGCTTTTGGTGATATGCTACAGCATAATTTTTGCCATCATTCACTTTGATGACTTGAAATAAAGTATAGAATATACATCTATTTTTCGATTTTGGACTGTGCATTATGCAGAATGCCCTTTACCCTGGATGTTAAGATTGTTAAATATAACAGAGAAACAGAAGCTTTCTAGCAGAAATTCTGCTGCTGGGTTATGTAGAAAGTGAAATGTTTTGTAGTTTGTATAATTATTGCCACCTTATTGGATTTTGTTAAGATTGTTAAATATAACAGAGAAACAGAAGCTTTCTAGCAGAAATTCTGCTGCTGGGTTATGTAGAAAGTGAAATGTTTTGTAGTTTGTATAATTATTGCCACCTTATTGGTACACTCATTCAGGTGGTCGCTGGGTGCAATTTTGTATGAAATGCTTATCGGCTACCCTCCATTTTATTCAGATGAACCAATGACCACCTGCAGGAAGGTGACGTGCTTGTTATGTATTTTCTCAATTTTCTTGTGTCTGCTCCCCTTATATCTAACTTCTAATATTACACTGTTTCTAGCCATTGTTATCTATTGACATGTTGAACTGTTACTTCTTCTATCATTATGTCTTAGAATGCCAGCTACTGGACCATCTTTTATGTACAGTTAACTGGATAAAGCTGAACTTTTGACACGGACAGAGTTATTTACCTTGTCGTAAATTCCCATGGCATGACATGATTTTCCCAAAATTTAGGTCTACAACTTAGTGACTTACCGGTCTATACATCCAGTTAGGGTTGGGCAAAACTCTCGAACCGAATCAGAACCAAACTGAACCCAACGGTTCTTCTAAAGTTAAATACCCGAATAGGTATCTGAATTGAGAACCAATGGGTACCGATTTGGTTTAGTTCTCAGTTCTAGACCAAGAATCGAAGAACCGAATCTTCCTTTTTTATGTTGAATAAATCAAATTATTTTAATTTTTTCTAAACAAATTAACTAATAGCTGGTAAATATTAGTAATACTTAAAAATATTTTATCTCTACGACTTCTAATTCAATATTTTTTTTTTATGTAGACTTGAAAGCTTGAAGGTTGAAGCAAATCAATAATATTATTGATATGGATCGCCAATATTTTAGTAGTAGTATCTACTTTTTGGTATTTGTATATGTTGGTAAATTAATCTTATTGGACAACTTGTTATTTATATTTTTTGAATTGGACTTCTCTAATTTGTAAAAGCTATGATTAATTATGTCATTAGTTGTATTTATGTAGTGTTGTAAATGTTAAAAAATGTAATTATGGTACGGAACCGAACCGGACCTAACCGAATCAAACCCGAATGGTTCCTTAATTATATTTGGACCCGACAGTTCTACTTACTAAATACCCGAAATTTTCGGTTCGGTTCTCCATGCCCAGCTCTACATCCTGTGCTTTGCTATGTTAATGTGAATTGTGGAATGTATTCTTCAGACCCATTTCTCCTGTCTAGCTTTCTTTCTAGTCCTGATAGTGGGGTCTGACAAATGGACCACATCTGAGTAATCTTACAATACTTACCCTAATAAAAGTAATTTATGTAGTGAATAACATGTCATTTTAGAAGAGTTGTCTAGTCATCATGACGGAGCATTATATTGGCCCAATATTTTGTAAAATCTATGCAAGGGTAATTGCAGGAGCATGAGAGCAGAAAATGATTTCAGCCACTTCTTATGAGTTACCTTGGATAAGATTTTTCTTTCTTTTTTTCTTGGTTTCTCGTACATAACCTGTCAATATGTCTATAGTAAAATGAAGGTTAGAAAAGATAAGGAAACACTTCCACTTTATAGCTGTACCAAGGATTACATCGATACAATTATCTTCTGATAAGGTACATTCATGATAGCCAGATAGTTCATTGGAGAAATCACCTGAAATTTCCTGAAGACTCCAAATTGACCCCCGAGGCCAAAGATTTGATCTGTCAGTTACTCTGTGATGTGGAACATAGGCTTGGTACTGGAGGAGCAGGGCAGATCAAGGTATGGTTGTACACAAATTAGAAATTTCTCTCTCTCTCTCTCTCTCTCTCTCTCTCTCTCTCTCTCTCTCTCATATTCATTAGAAGCAAATGTGTGCAGGGTCATCCTTGGTTTAAGGATATTGAATGGGATAAGCTATATGAAATGGAAGCAGCCTTTAAACCGATGGTTCACGGGGAGCTGGACACCCAAAACTTTATGAAATTTGATGACGTAAGCATAGATCTATTTACTTCTTTATTAAGTCATGTCATGTATCTACCGAAATTATTGGAAGTTTGGCAACTTGCAGTACCTACGACAGTACATATTGTTCTTGGCAAATAGCTATTCAGCTTCAGATTTCTACATTATATGCCACGGTTTTTCATGGATTATATTGTACTCTAATATACTGATGTAGCATATCATATTGTAATAGTATCAAGATTATATAAACAAGGGTCCTTTGGCACGTCGATAAGCTTGTGTCCATGAAGAGTGAGAGCTATGCTTGGCAACTTCTATTAATTAGTATTTACCACTTTCAAAGGTCAAATCTCTTGTTCATTTGTGAGTTTTCCATGTTCTTTAAGACTTCTTTTTTATGTCATGCCCATGTGTTCTAATAGAAGATCTAGACTTTTCGGGATGACATCTTTAAATCACACACTAGTTATGAAGAACCTAATTATTTTGTGCTATTGCATCTTGCACATCAATTTTTCACGTATGCAGTGGCCTTATTTGAAAATTCAGGTTTTAACTTTAGCATATTTGATATTTGTTTATTGATTGCCACCCCCAACCCAACCCTTGTGCGTGCGTGCTTGTGTGTGTTGACTTCTGAATAACCTTATTGATCCAATTATTTCTCTGAATTTTTCGTCAGTTGGATCCTCCAACACCAACAAGATGTGGTTCGGGACCCTCTCGAAAGGTTTCTTCTTATCCATTTTCATACTTATTGGTTTCTTACAGAAAAAAGACTGCTTTGGAAGTTCGAAAGATCATAGTTTTGTAGTAATTATTTTGCTAGTTCGACGGATTTTTAGTTTGGGACCCTGCAGCCCCATTTAGTGCAATTTTATTAGATTCTTAACTTAAAAAACGGAGGTGATTTGGGGTTTGACATGATTCGGATGCTAGATTAATTAAATTCTTTCCTATTGGCATAGTTCAAGAGTTGAATGGGGCTGCAAAGATTTTTGATCGAGGGAACAAGTAGTATGATATCATGCCTTCGGCCTACATGTTAAGTTAGCACAACTTTAATAAATATGAAAATCTATATAACCTCTCTCCAAAAGTAGAAAAATCTACATTTTATTTGTCATTAATTATGCTAACTAAGCACAATGTTTTATATCTTGTTCTTCAATTACTGAGTGCTGCAATTTAGCCTCCTGCGTTTAATCATGATAGGGATTATGGTATCTGAAACTGGCTTTAATCTTACTTCACACAGATACGTCTTGATTCCAAAGATTTAAGCTTTGTGGGCTACACATACAAGAACTTTGATGCTGTTAAGGAGGCATTGCGTCAGTCACCAGGTTATAGGCTATTTGTTCTCCTGAAACTCCACTTGCACGTGCACGCGCACTCAAGGCTTTGTACCTGTATATAAATATATGCTTATTTGCTTCATTTTATGCCAATATATAATCATATTCTCCCTCTGTTGTGCTATGTATTTTGTCATGCCTTTCATGTTCTCTTAACTCACTGGTACATAGTTCATATAATCCATTGCTTTGTTGTCTGAACAATGTATAACGATGCTTCAATTTTCATCTCTTACCCTTCTGGTATACATCACCAATATACTTTTAAAAACTAAAATTGCTATGTTTGGTCTAGAAAATTGTTTATGTTACTCTTAATGGAGGAAACAATTTATTGATATTCTTCTTGGACCTCATTTGACTTCTGCAGATCTTATCAGGAGTACATCACTGACTCGGTCATCAGCTGATTAACTATACCATTTTGTGGTTCATAATTTTAACATTTTATTTGCATCCATTAGGTGATCCCGAGGGGAGCCCAACGAGGAAAACAGCGTCTGAAGGAACAGATGCCCAAATGATCACGACAATGGATGATGGGATGTCGCCATGAAATAAAACAAATGCTTAGTAAATGGAAACTTTGTTATAGTTGGTGGCGTACGCCTGTGTATTTGTATAGGTTGCTCGCCCCTTCAATGTTTCCGCATGAAAGAGCTGCCTTTTCAAGGACTCTTGTTTCTTGCAAATATTAGTGCTTGAGAAACTTGAATAGAAATCTAGAGTAGGCTCTGTGGTACTTCTGTTATCCTGGCTGCCCAAGTTGGCAATAAATGCTTTATCGTGTGGCAGTTTTTGGTCAGACATACTCCCCTTCCGTTCTTTGGAAAATGTTTGGTGTACATGGGTTCGGTTTCACATAACCCCTACCAACATTCACAAATAATGGATCCCACACGGGATGCACTTGTATTAATAAAAAAAAGAACAGAAAAAAAAACACCCACCCGCCACGCTGGTGCATGTGAGTCTTCTGTACAGGTTCTATGAACCAATACCAGTACATGTATCACAACCCCCTGTTCTTTTGGATTAAAAAAAAAAAAAGTATTCTAATCGCTTGATTATGGAGTGATTTGTCTCTATTTCTTTTCTTCTTAAGTTGGCTTTGAGCAGGCTTTGAGCCTGGCTGCTGTTCTGCTAGTTATTAACATTGGGCCTGGTTTCCATTAGCTAGAAGAAGCAAGCATATTCAATCAATTAGCAAAGACGCAAAATAGAAATGTGATCAAACTCAAAGAAGTCACTAAATAGACATTGCCTCTTCAGAGATATGACCGTTCACAATAAACACAATATAAGCTTAGGGTAATGCACCCTTAAAACAAAGTTTGCAGTTCCTTGGTAAAAGACAGTACTAAAGTTATCCCACAATCAGAACTCCAAGCACAACATTTGACAGCCAACCGACCCCGAAACCAACAGACAACTCCAAATCGCAAAATCATGTTCTCATATTTGTAATCTGATTATCTTATTCACCTTACAAGGCAAGGCTTGAACCAAGTTCGATGGGAACCCAGACCAGGGTAGGGAATTTACTTCTCGCTGCCAATTTTTTCCTGCTGTTCAGTTTCATCCTTCTTGTCCTGGGAGGAAACAGGTGCATCTTCGGCCTCTTGCTTCTCTTCCGTATCTTTGCTTTCAACACTCAACTTTTCAATAAGGTTGGCAACAGCAGTGCCTTCTTCACTATCCCCAGGAGCTTTTGCCATAGATTCAGTGATTTCTTCAATCTTATCTTTGAAAGATTTGCAATCTGAAATGTAAGTATAAAGATAACAAGGAATATCAGTGGACAGCTCCAAATCCAGAAGTACAAAGAGCAACTATAGGCAAGAAAGAAAAATTAATATTAATAAATGGTATTACATTTTATCTAAGCTATATATCAACACTTCCTAATAAGTAGATTTTATTTCTAGAGACAATAAGAACCCATGAGATATAAGAATTCTCCATTTATATCTTTTATGGTGCACACATGTTTTGCAGATAATATCATTTGTTTGGCCTCCGTGTGAAGTTTGGCCTCCGTGTGAAGTTTATGTATCCCCAAACTCCAAATATCTAAAAATTATAATTTTCGAACCAAACAATAAAGCATGGAAGATATCAACATGATTCATCCAGAAGCTTGTCAAACTAAGATAAAGCAGTAAAGTTCCACAACCTAAACACAAAAAATCAAATGCCAGCCAAATCACACATTTGATTGTCAACTAGAACTATTGCCTTCAACATTCGCAATATGGTATTAAGGGCAGCTTTCGTTTCTTATCCTTCTCTTAATATATCATAACCACTAAAAAAAACTTCTGCTATCGTTGCAAGAAAGTCAAAAGCATAACTTCATTTAATGTAAGTGGGCAAATGTAAAACTGCAAAGGAAAAAACCATTTGAATATGGCAAGAATAGCAGAACAAGAACAAGAAAATTAATAAAAAGATTCTATTTGATTGTGCAAAATAAGAAGCTGAAACTAATTAGACTTTGTCCACCATATCAATGGCAAAAATAGGCAAAGCATCAAGGAATCTAATTTATGCACTCCACCCCAGCACTATCACTCCTTAGTCACAATCCCCATTGCACTCGAATGGTAAAAATTCTCAGGAAAAAGCTAACATCTCTCAAAAATCACGAGTCCCAAAACCAAAACCAACTAAAATGAAGACTTGAACCAAGTCAACACAACAAAATCACCAACTCCTACCTCTTTCATGAAACTTCAACTATACGACAAACCGACCAGCCATTCATCAATAGTGCTATCAATTTAAATTTAAAACTCACACTGTACCTAACCTAGAAGTAGTCATTCAACTAAAAACATACAGATTTAAACATCAAAGATTCATATCTGTTTGCTTCACTTTTTTCTTAGCATCGAAACCCATCAATCATGAACTACATTTAATGGCACAGTTTCAAAGATACAGCACACTGTATATAAAAAGTAGCAACTCACTTTCCACAGAAGCAAACCGAATAGCAAAAGTCTCCTCCTTCAACTCTCCATCTGCAAAATCAGCAGCATGCCACACACACGATTTATCATTCCCCTGATGCTCTTGCACAGTCATCGTAGGTAGCACTGTATTACAAAACAAAATAAATTTTTAATCAAACAATTCAAATCCATCATTCCATATTACAAATCTATACTACCTACATATGGGTTCAAACCAAGCTATTAGCACAATATCAATAGGCAAAAATAAACATACAAAACCCATATTTATAAGTGTGAACTTACCCAGATGGTTAGCACATATCTTAAGGGTCTTGTTCTGCCTCATGACAAGCCTAATTTTGTCACTCTCCTTGTGCTTGAGTAGCTTCAGTGTCCCAACGCCCCTCTCTTTCCATTGGTTGCCTTCCTTATCAAATCTATATAGCTTCGCCTTCCTATCATCCACATTAAACAATAATAAATACGAATCCACCAAATCCCTAGCATCAGTAGAACATTTAGAACATGTGCAAACGAGTACTTAACTACAAGAAAATAATACAAAATAAACAAAAATACTAAGTAGTTCACAATCAAAATCTTTTCCTCAAAATATAACAGTTCTAGATACATTTGAATAACAATTTATCTTCATTTTCTAGTGAATGCATCTCGAATCAGTTCGCAAGTACAGATCTATGTAGATTTGCAATCAAAACCGCTTCCTAAAAATATAAAGTTCCCAGCACATTCGAATAGTGCACAAATACAGATCTATGAGCTTTATTACAGAAAGATTAAATACTCACAGATCGAGAAGGACGTCTTCATTCTCTTCGCCAGTAGTAACAGCTACCTCCTGCAGTTTGACTATAGGAGCCACCTGTGCCCCAGTGTCCTCATCTTCAGCCCCTGGTTTTGAATCATCCTCTTCTTCTTCTTCTTTTTTCAAGTTCGTAGGTTCTGTAGTGCTCGCCATGATCGTAAGGAGAAAAACTTGAGAGGAAATCGGCAGAGAATTAGGGTTTTGGAAGCAGGATGTAGAGGGCGATGATTGTTAAAGGCGCAGAAATGGAGCCGAGATTGTTTCAATTGCACGCTTATGAGTTGGAAAGTAAATATTCGGATGCAAGGCGGTTAGTGAAGAAGCCCATTGGGCCTGGACTTGATTTGGGCCGAACTGGACATTAACAAATGGGAACTTGTCAGAAATACCCTACTTTTAAATAAAATTTTGAAAAATGTTAAAAACAATATTGAAAATAATAAAACTTATTGTGTTACATTTTGTGGGAAATTTCTATACTACGTGTGTTAAATTACAGTAACAAATTGTGTTATATTTTGCCATTTCATAACATCAAATTAGGAGCCTATTTGGTAGTAATTATGATAATTTAATTTTTGATCGTTAGAGAAAAAAGTGGGTCTCATCTGTGAATGAATAAGTCAAAAATGACGTCTGAAATAGTAAAATAACCATTAAAATTTTGATTTTTTGATATAAAAAATTGTTACCCAAACGGTGGCTAGATCTCATTACAACTATTATTGAATCAAATCCGTACTCAATACATAAATCCCATGCACTTGGAAGTTCTCGAAACCAGAATCGAAACTTGCAAAGCTTCTATAAACGCCTCCCTAGCCAAGTTTTCAACCAAAAACCATGCCATGCCACACTTTTCAAGCTTAAAATCAAGAAACAAAAGAAATTTGCTTAAATAATGAAGTGAAAAATAATAGAGGGGCAAAGAATCGAACATCGTTGCACATCCACCGCCAACAACTAAGCTTCGTATCAAAGAATCAAAATTTTCCCTAAACATGGGTGAAAGTTCAAATCTGAAAAGAAAGTGGAAATTCAAATTTCAATCACGATTTTTTTAGGAAAAAAAATCGTGTGATTTATGTATAAATTATTATTAATTAACATAACAAGTATAAATAATATAATTCAATAATAAACATATAAATCAGTATAACATAAATTTGAGAAGAGATTTTGAAAGCAAGTCGTATAGAGTCACGTTAAGGACGTTGTGCAAAAGTCATGTCACCTCCTCTTCGCAATGATACTTTCGACACTACACGACTCCAAAATAAAATTCATATAACTTAAAGTCGATTTTCTTTCTATGAACACAATCACAGTAAGATAAAGAATGAGCTTTTATCGAATTGTCAAAAGAATAAGAGCATAAAATGTATAAGAAGCATTTTGTGTATTCTTGTTTTCTTCTCTATTTGTATCATTCATGTTACACCGAACAATGAAATAACCATTACTGTTATATGGTAAAATCAACCTCCCACAACAATGAAAATTTAATCCACTAAAATAGAAATTTCATCTAAAATGATGATGTTTTTATTTTGCATGATAACAACAAATTAATATAAAACTGCAATATTAATTTGAATGTTTTGAAACTTCTTTCATGTTACAATAATCCCCCACAAGTTTTAAACTTTCAAAACAGATAAATATCCCCATTTAAGCCACATTAAAATAAGAATGAGAATGAAAAATATAGCCGTTATGGCTCCACACAAGAGATAGATTTTCAAATATGAAGACTTGATGTGATGGATAACAGTCATATTTTTCATTTTAATGAGTAAATAATGGGAACATTAAAATGTGCAATAAATATAGATATCCTTTGAATTTATATCTTACTTAGTGATAACAATTTTCATTTGAGGGAGTCATAATTGACTAAAAATTGAATTAAGTCCCTTGAACCAAACTTCAATTGTTTCACATAGTGTTCAATTGTTTCACATAGTGTCTATTTAGGCTCTGGCTCATAGCAGGTAGTGCTCTTAATGGCCCTGTGCCCTAATTTTGATTCTAGTAAGAATCTTTAGAGAATAGCACAATCTCATAGCCACAACCTCATTATAGCTCTTACATAGATGAATCCTCCAAAGATGTATGTAATATGCACCTTACGAGAATTATCGCCTCGTACTCGTTTAAGGTTAAACATTTCCTAACATCACATTATTATTAGCACTATCACCATAAGGATGAGTGCAAATAAAATGGTTTTATTAATGTTAGCCATGTAGGTTGTTTCTACCACATTGATCCTTCATTATCGGATCTCCGATTACAAATATTGGATTATTCCCAGAGGTAAACTCATTGCCTCGATGATTTATTATGTCCATTATGGACTATTATTTATTTTATGTCCCTCTTGAACAATAATTTGGTACCATCTATTTGCAAAATTCTTCTGCCTGAAAACTTTACGTCTGCAAAGTTTTCTAAAATTTTCAAAATATTTATGTCACGTATTTAATTAAGATAAACACATGAATTTTAGAAATCGACTTCTAGTAACATATTCAAATAGATGCATCCGTTCGGCTCTTGTATTTTATCCTCACATCAACAATTTTTATTTTCAACACTTTTCAAAAGTCAATTTTCCAACTAAGAATTATAAAATATAAGATGTATCTATATTAAATACTCCCACATTTCAAAGATATAATAATTCATTATCAATTAATGCCTCAATCTTCATATATCACAATATAACATTATTTTTATAATAGATTAAGCCTAATCAACCATCAATGCCATACTCTACTCATGCATACACATCGCATATGTAAATGAATATATTAAATTATCAAGGACAGTGCTATTTTTACACTTTTCATGTATATAATTGTTGACAATCCCTCACTTGGAGGGGGCATGCATATAATTTATTATGCCTAGCCCCTCAATGTAAGGGGATATCATTTATTTATGTACACCGAAAGTGTACGAATAAACTAATCCAATTATTAATTACCATCGTGGTGGCCATCAAATTGATGTCAATAGTCACGGATATTTAGCACACATGTATCCAAAATTTTAAAACCTGCTAACTTATGAAATTTCGTCTTTACAATGAAATTAATATTAGGAAGATATTATAAATATCAAGGACAATAATCTAATTGTCAAGCCATCTATCAAATGAAGGAATTATAAAGCAAGTTCAAGTTGTGTGATAGTACAATATCATTAGAAGCTTAGCAAAAAGTGCATGTGACACCACAATGAGTATCATTGACATAGTTGCTTTATAGAGATAAGATCCTGGCTCAAAAACTTCCACAAATAGTTGATTTTTCTGATGGTTGTAATTTTCCTCATCGTTCTTAACAAAGCAACTTTTCTCTTCAAGGTCACTAGGACAATCACAGGATACTATATGTAATTTAAAATTTGTGAGAATGTTCGGCAAAACACTTGCATGCTTATCAACAACGTAGTTTCACTTATCGCTTGCTTATCGTAATAGAGGGATACAAGACAATAGTGTACATTTATTAAAATTTCAGTATTAAATCATTTAAATATAAGTTCAACTAAAAAATTAAGTATTTTAATTTTGTATTTAAACTAAAATGTAAAGCCAAACAAAATTGAAATTAATTAATTTTTATTTATGTCATCTGTATCCCAAATAAATAATAATGGGATTTTGATTTTAAACTGGACAAGAGAAAAATAGAAACGAACCTTTTCTTTCCCTTCTCTTCTTTAAGAAAGCACATACAGTTACCTCATATATTGCAAAAAGTAAATATTGTGCTCCATCTTTTATCATAAGAAACTACTAACAATTCAAGGAAGAACAAGAGACGCTATTAAAATAATTTGCGCACCATGAAATCAGAGATTGCAAGACTATCGAATTCCCATTCAATGCAGGATAGTACTTTTTGTTCCACGACTTGTACAAGTCCAAGAACAAAAGATAAAAATATAGAGTACACGTATCCATTGTTAGTTTGATGCTCTTTCTTTGAGTAATGTTTTGTAAAATCACATTATGAATTGACATTCCTTTACTTACATGTTATGATTTAAGCGATTATCTAATGTTCCATAATCATATAAGATGTCAAAAATTGTATACTCGATGGTTCGAATATAGTAAGACACAATTCGTGATGTGATCAAAATTATGTTGTTCACAATCAATACATAATGGTGGACACTTCATGTTGATAAGATTGCATTGTTCTTATTAAGATTCGTCTAGATCTTGGAATAAGGACAATAATGTGTTTCGATGCACATTGAATAGGACCGCGTAGATGACTCATTTGTGATCGTTCGAAATGAGACTCTACTAGATTATCAAATAAGTCACCTAAATTCTGAGCGAGTAATGTACCTTTGATTGCTAGTTCAAGTTCTTTAAGTACCAATTAGTGAAGTCTTAAATAGAAAATTGATCTTGATGCTTTGGGAATCGAGTCGAAACAATTAGAAATCATATACTTGCAATAGTGGAATCCATTAATCATTAAACTGAGACAATCATCACTCTAATGTATTTTTCTAGGCAAATTGAACATGAACTCAGTAGTTTAACAATGAGATCATTGGACTTTATATTATGATTTTATCACAACGAATTTGTCGTATGAAAATGAAACTTAGAGGATAATGCATGTTGAAGGACAAAACAGTAATTTTTCCAGTTTCAACATATTGGTTGTGAAATGGGGATTGACTTGTGGAACGATAATCGGATAATATTGTTATTGGATCATAATTTGTTTATATAACTATCACTCGACTCGAGAATGCAGTCTCGATTTTTTTGTAGAATAAGTTGGAATTAATAGATATATCTCAATTGGTTAAGAGTTAACCTAATTAGAAACATCTAGGGGAGCTTAGGTCATGTGAGTTCGATTAGGTCCCTCTCTTTGCTCCAATAAAAGGCGTGTAACTTAATTGGTCTATTACAATAAAGTCCAAGAAAATTTGTGCAATTTCAAAACTCTAATTGAGCATTATAAATATTCGATTTAGGGTTAGCTTCTTTTCATTTTTCTAAAAAGGAAATACACCTAGAGGAGAACAAGGGAGAAGATCTAAGGGATGAAGTATTTAGCTAGGCTATTAAAAACTCCTTCAAAGGTTATCATCTTCCATATCTATGTGTGAGGATTTTTTAATCCAATGATATCAAGGTTACTAAAAATCCTTATTGTCATTGTTTTAATCTTCATAGGAAAATTAATTTTCTATTGTGATGATTAAATCCATTAATCAACCAATGGTATCCGAGCCAAG